AAAGTCGAAACAAGGGTAAAAGATAGATAATATTCGGACAAACCGAACAGAAAACTCGGACACACCGAAGCTCGTCGTCGGACACACCAACGGAAAGATAGTTTGGAGAAAATTCTCAACAAACAAAGTCTCAAGCATAAGCTCAAATTTCATTCACCAAAATCTGATCAAAATGATGTATTACAACTCATATTTATAGAGTTGATTGGTTTATTTGTTCAACATGGTTTGCAAGCTATTATATGGAGTCGGAAGATTTATCACCGCGTCCGAAGAATTGAGGTTGAATTTCCGCCATTACAAAAAAAAAACACAGACCAAATCATATCGTTTATTACCACCAACAATATAATGTCTATTGAATTCTTTCCCATAATTTTCAGGTGAAATATCTCTAAGTCTCAACATTGGGCCAAGGGGAACAACTAAAGACGATCTCCATGAATGGTAGGGTTCTATCTTTTAGATAGAAAGATTATTGTTGGTAAAAACTAAAAACGACTAATTGATATATGCGATTTAGTGTAAATTACTAAAAAGTATATTATTTTATTTTATATAATACTATTATTATTTTTAAATAATTTAAATAATTATTGTTATTATTTGATACCAGTTAATTATCAATTTTATAAATAAATATATTGTTCTTGCATAATTTTTTTTTCCTTCCGTGAAAAAACGACGGTATCTCATCAACTGAATAAGACCCACATTACTGAATACTTCTTGTCTCAACCGCATGCTTTTGTTTTAAGTGATGTTGATTCGATTGATGATAAAAGGTAACTTTGCCTCCACTAGTAATATACATTGTATATTACATATTTTAATTAATTGTAAATACGATTTTTACCTACATTACCTGTATTTGAAACTACGAACCAATTCTTCGGAAGAGTCTTGTGTAGTGGTTAAAGAATCCATAATTTTTCAAAAGATCATGGGTTCGATTCAACTCTCCAACAAATCTGTCACCCTTTGAGTAGTTAATATTGATATTGTTGATGCCTTGATAACGATTTCGCGAATTTTCAATTAGATTTCATACCCTTATATTATATTTATATAGTTGTTGTTTTTATATTTGTTATTTACATATTATATTTGACACAGAGCAATAAATGACTCATTGTGTTATTGTAAGGATACCATTGTAAATATATGTAAAAATTGTCCTATATGTCTCTATAAATTATAAATTATAAATGACATGAAACACTACATTTATGCATGAAAATAAATCAAAGACTATTTCGCTATATGATGTTAGACAAAACATCTAAAGGTCATTTAGTATCCAAACCACGGACCAACTCTTTGGAGTCTTGTGTAGTGGTTAAAGAGGCATTATCAAAAATACCCTTACTTTTCTATTTTGACTTCAAGACATACCCTTCTCCAACTGTGACCATTTGACCTATGTGATCAGAAATTTAATCTTGGTTATAAAATTGAATTTATAAATTTTTTTTATCAAATGATTAGTAAGATATATAAGATATGAATATAATGAATGGGTGTGATCATCATAAATTTAACGTTATGGACAAAATGACCAAGATTAAATTTCTGGTCACATGGGTCACATGGTCACAGTTGGAAAAAGGTATGTCTTGAAGTCAAAATAGAAAAAGTAATGGTATTTTTTATAATGCCCCGGTTAAGGGGCATTAATTATCAAAAATGCTCTTACATTGCTATTCATACTTCAACATATACCCTTATCTAGTTATCACCATGTGACCCATGTGATCCAAAATATAGTGTAGTCACATGTTGATCTCATTGTTCATAACGTTAAATTTATTATGTTTTAATCAAATATTTAGTAAGATATACAAGATATGAACATAATGAATTGGTGAGATCACTATAAATTTAACGTTATAATTAATAAAATCAAAATGTGATCACACTATATTTTGGATCACATGGGTCATATGGTCACAGTTGGAGAAGAGTATGTGTTGAAATAAGAATAGCATAATAAGAATATTTTTGATATATTGTCGGTTAAAGAGTCCATGATTTTTCAAAAGATCATGGGTTTGATTCAACTCTCCAACGAATTTATCACTATTTGATTGGTTTATTTGTTCAACATGGTTTGCAAGCTATTATATGGAGTCGGAAGATTTATCACCGCGTCCGAAGAATTGAGGTTGAATTTCCGCCATTACAAAAAAAAAACACAGACCAAATCATATCGTTTATTACCAACAACAATATAATGTCTATTGAATTCTTTCCCATAATTTTCAGGTGAAATATCTCTAAGTCTCAACATTGGGCCAAGGGGAACAACTAAAGACGATCTCCATGAATGGTAGGGTTCTATCTTTTAGATAGAAAGATTATTGTTGGTAAAAACTAAAAACGACTAATTGATATATGCGATTTAGTGTAAATTACTAAAAAGTATATTATTTTATTTTATATAATACTATTATTATTTTTAAATAATTTAAATAATTATTGTTATTATTTGATACCAGTTAATTATCAATTTTATAAATAAATATATTGTTCTTGCATAATTTTTTTCCTTCCATGAAAAAACGACGGTATCTCATCAACTGAATAAGACCCACATTACTGAATACTTCTTGTCTCAACCGCATGCTTTTGTTTTAAGTGATGTTGATTCGATTGATGATAAAAGGTAACTTTGCCTCCACTAGTAATATACATTGTATATTACATATTTTAATTAATTGTAAATACGATTTTTACCTACATTACCTGTATTTATATTATTTACAATTTTTTTATATCAATATATCAAGAAACGTTTTAGTATAAACAAGTTATGAGGGGTGACTCGCCCTTCAAGACCAAATGAACGGGTTTGAGAGTCAAAGATTCTAAAAAGGGTCGTGGATTCAACACTATTCTTTTGTGAGTCTGACATCCTTTGAATAGTTTATTTATTCTACGTGGTTTGCAAACTATTATGTGGAGTCGAGATTTATCACCACGTCCGAAGGATTGTGGATGGTTCTCACCGTTACAAAAAAATTCAACAAGAATATATCTATCTTTTGATAATGGAGTTACAGGTTTAGGTGTTATATTTTTAATTTTTTTTAATAAAATTGTAACAGAATTATTAATTACCCCATTAAATATATCTTTATAAAATTTATTATTATCCCAATTATAAATTATTGCAGATTCCAGATTCAAATGCGATTAGCTTAATTAATACAAACTTTACTTATTTTATAACTTAATACTATCAAATTGTATATCATCCTTTGGTCAACTTGAAGCTTTTGGTTGTTTTGTTTTTTTAATCCATCATGTATAATGTCAACAAAAAAAAAATACAATCTTTTTTTTATTTTTATTTTGTTATTTTATCCTATTAAATATCGACGTAATCTTAATTTTAACAAAATTGACTTTCTTACACAATCAATTTTTCAAAAAAAAATATACAAAAATATATCTCCATGTGGATTGAACATTGATTAAAAAAAAACTAAACCAGAGTAGTGAAATAGAACCTATCCGCAAAGAGTTAGATTGTCTTAACATCTTACAAGATAATGTATGATTATAGTAAGAGTAATTTATAGCAATTCATTTTAAATTATGATTATAGTTTTTTTTAGAAAAACATAAAAATTACCTTCAAAACGTAGATTTCGCTGGCTCCAATTGTATTTTCATTATATAATTATAAGTTATAACCAGACTAAATATCTATTATTCGACCAAAAATATTCAAAATAAGGACGATATTCAGTGGTAGTATATAGGCATGGTTATCTATGATGGGTTAACCATTCGACTATAAAATTCACAATCATTTTGCCCACCAAATAAAAAAAAGGGATAAATGACAAAAAAAAAATATGTATTTTCATTTTGTCTTAATTTAAACCATATACTTATTTTTATCCTTAAAAACCCTATACTTTTAGATTATCTCTAAAAAAATTATGTACTTTGCATATTATAGAATTTAAACTTTATACTTATTTTTTATCCTAAAAACTTCTACACAATTAGATTATCTCCAAAAATTTTCTATACTTTGCATATTATAGCAATTTAAATCTTATACACATTTTTTGTCTTAAAAAACAAAGTCGTAATGCATTTAAAAGAAGAAATTGCCCACGAGAAAGAATTAAATAGCTGATAGATTTGACTATCTCCATAAAATTCTCGTACTTTACATATATGAATAAAAATAATATGACATTCGTATCCCACTTTCCGTGAACAATATACCTCATATGGACAAAAACCAATAATATAATGGGTTTTTGTATTATACTCAGATTCGGGATTGTGATCCCAAACTTTTACGGTTGTGTTAAATATTATCTCGGACGTGTATGATTTTAATTTGACTGTTGAAATGTTTTAAATTCCACTACTTGTTTGAATGAAAAGTTTTAAAAATTCTCGTATTTTGGCTTTGGTAATTATATTATTGGTTTTTGTTCATGTGACATATCATGTTCACGGAAACTGGGATACATGTGTCACATTATTTTTGTCCATGTATGCAAAATACAGAAATCTAATTGTACATGGTTGAATATATAATTTAAATTGTCATAATGTACAAGATATATGAATTTTTTGGAGATAATCTAATTGTACATAGTTTTTTAGGATAAAAAATAAGTAAAGGTTTTAAATTACCATAATATGCAAAGTACATGGTTTTTTGGAGATAAGTTTTTTGGAGATAATCTAAAAGTACAAGATTTTTAGGATAAAAAATAAATATATGGTTTAAATTGAAATAAAATGGAAGTACATGATTTTTTTTTTTTGCTCATTTACCCTAAAAAAAATTATACACAATTATTTTAAAATGGTGTATAAAATTTACGTCCGAATGATTTTAACATAATAATTTTTCTTGGTATAAACATAATAAAATTTGATAGTTAGGTCCCATCCCTTTGCCATGCTTAGGAGCCATAAGGAGGAAGACTTATGATACACTTGCGATAAAGACAACACACAAAGACACGAAAATCTCTTCTTATTCTTCAAAGGGTAAAGCCCAAACAAGTTGCCTCGAATTATAGCATTGACTTCATCATCATGATTATTATAATTAATCACCCTAAATCACTTCAAAAAATTATTTTTCAGGGAAAAGAAAAAATATATATTGCAGTTTAATTAATTCTCCAATATCACCATATATAAAGACCTCTATGTGCATCTCATTTTCTTATCAACCTTAAATCATCAACAAAATCATATCTTCCTCTCCTCTCTTCAAATCTTGGAGGATATTCAGATATATACAACAATGGCGATCCGGAATCTCCTCGTGATCTCGCTTCTCGTCTGTTCTTTGATCGGGACGAGCCGTGGAGCGGGCAAAGAGAAGCTCTTCACCGACCTCCAGCACACGCTCGCGGTCACCGCTAAACCTAGCAGGCAAGGCGGTATGTAAAATTTCCGATCTCTTCTCCAACACAACTCATACACCACTCCACGTACAAGTCATGTTACTACAAGGGCATAATCGTAATTTACCAATATCTAGGGTTACCTACTTATGATGACGTCATCTTTGCTTGTCATGTTTTTTTTTTTTTTTTTTTTTTTTTTTAGTTCTTGACCCGGGGAAGGACAAGGTGAGCGTAACGTGGAGGCTGAACTCCACGGCCGCTCCGGGAAGCGACTCGGACTACAAGACGGTCGCCGTGAAGCTGTGCTACGCGCCGGTGAGCCAAGTGGATCGGCCGTGGCGGAAGACATCGAACGAGCTCTTCAAGGACAAGACCTGCCCTCACAACATCGTGTCTCGCCCCTACGACGGGACCCCCCAGTCTTTCGACTGGACCATCGAGCGTGACATCCCCACCGCCTCGTACTTCGTCCGAGCCTACGCTCTCGACAGCAAGGGCGAGAAGGCCGCGTACGGACAGAGTACGGACGCTTCGAAGTCAGCGAATCTATTCAGCGTTCAAGCAATCAGCGGACGCCACGCGTCACTGGACATCGCTTCCATCTGTTTCAGTGTCTTCTCCGTCGTGGCTCTCTTTGGCTTCTTCGCCAACGAGAAGAGGAAGGCCAAGTTGGAGCAGAGCAAATGAGCTTTTTTTCAAGTCTTTGTGTGTTTGGTCGTGAACAACGACGGCGTTTACTTTGACTTATCTTGTCTTTTTTTTGCATGTTTAATTTGGTTTTCCTTTTACTTTGTTTTTGTGTAATATTATGTTATTTTGTATTCGAATCCACGAATCGTACGCTATATGTACTTATACGTATTACAATTCAAACCCGTTGAAGAAAACAAAATAATTTTTGTATAATGATGTTATCATATGATTATACGTCGGTGAATTAAAAATATATGCCGATCTTGTGTATTCTTTGCAGAATTTGCTCATAATATTGCCATCCGATTTACTTGGTACAGAAAATGTAATGATGTTTAACTTTTCTCCTACAGAGTCCAATGACGTGGCGGAATCTGATTGGACATGGAGCCAATCACAAATTTCATGTTCATTATTCACATGGGGTCGCTTATCATAAAATGTCAACCGCTCATTTTCATAATTTAATTTATAGGTATATCAAATCCAGATATTTGTATATCCGACACTGGCATGATTATGCCCATCTAAGACTATGATTTTTCGCTGGAGGCCAGAGCACAGTCGTAAGTTGGAAAAATGGCGTTTGCGTTTCAAACGCTGCAAAACTGCGTTCCAAACCGCATATATAAGTATGTGTTCGTTTCGTGTAGTGAGCAAGCAGACGCACACAAGCATTTATATATATAGCACCATTGATGAAATTCTGAGAAAACCTTAAAAGGGTGTGGAACTTGGCTCTGTTTGGATCCATTGTCGACCAAACTGTTCATCGCCTGCCTTTCCTATATATGCCCTCGCTCGAGCAACAATGGTTCCGACCACATAAAAAATCTTTACAGACAAACGAATCTTGATGATCAAACTCAAGAAGCAACGGTTTCACCGAAACCAGTTCCGAGATTCAGATCGAAACCGCAAAGATGATCTCTTCACATAGATACAGCAGCATACATGCGTACACGGTCTATAAATCCGTATAGACATACTGTGTATAGATCGTTCTTATTCGGGATTTATCACACAGTATAGAAACAATTCAATACTGTTTTCGTCAGAACTCGCAGGGTTTAGGTCTCGAAATCAGTGCTTTTCATCCGATCAGTACCAACAAGAGATAATCTATTCTCGTAAACATCGATATATCCGAAAGAAGACGTACCCGGAGGACATTCCAGGGCAGCTTCCAGGGATCTATGGTGAACTCCATGAGAATCGACAGAGCAGCCGCCTTTATGGTCGTGTCCAGACAGACAAAGCTTAACGCAGTCGTACTTGTGTATAATGTCCATCACTTCGTCGTAGTTCCACAACATCGCGGCTTTGGATGCTACGCTGGGATCCATCGGTATATGCCCGCAAACAACGACCTTTTGGTTCGTTTTAGTCGCGTCCCGAAGCACATTGTCTAGCCATTGCAGCTGTTTCTCGCCGACACCGCCATTAAACTTCAGATATCTTCTCTCCAGACCTACCAACCCCTCCGGGCTGTTCTTGTCGGAATTCGGGTTCTTTTCTTCAAGTATTTTCAGCGCAGCCGCTGTATGAGGATGGTCTCGAGGCCATCCAACCGCACTGATGTCATACCCGTCTAGCACAACGATTCTACACCCCGGAAAGGGCGAAAAATCGTAATAAGCACTTCCGCTGCAACCCGGGATCTTCAGCAAGGGAAGCAACTGTTCTCGGGGAAGATTGTAGAGACAGTGATTACCAATCATATGATACACAGGACCACTGAATTTCCCGAACTCATCAACAACCTTCTTCACGGCGGCTAGGGATTGGTCCTTGGGACAAAACCCGTCGACTATATCCCCAAAATTGATAACAAATTTGAGATTTCCATGCTGGTTCCACTTCCGGACCGCCCTTTGCAGAACAAGCATGCTGTGTCTGTAATATCTCGGAACACCCAAGAACGAGTGGCCATCGGGTATGTCTGCGTATTGGACATCGGCTATAACGCCGAATGAGAAAAGAGGCGATCCATTTGCAGACCCCATTGCAGCAGATCTTGGTCTCTGCATATCGAAAGATTCACATTTCAGTTCAGAGTCATAGAGGAAATCTCAGCAACATAACCAAGCTAATCACGAGTTTGAGAAACAACAAAGCCAACAGAGGAAAACGCCGTGTTGGCAATAACACCCTGGTTCTGTCCGTAAGCACCCAATGTCGCAAACCCTACACTACATAACACAGTGATTTCGACGAATAGACCCAGAAATCACAATTTCAGATGCATCGAATTCATCAGGAGACAGATTCTGTTTAATAAGATTTATGAAACGTCATCGAAGGAACAAGACGAGTGCAGATTCAACGTGTCTCCACGTTTCATCCCATTCAGTATTCAGAAACTTTCGACCAGAACGTCTAAAAGCGCATCTACAGAGAAGAAAAAAAAGGGATCCATAACCGGAGCCCAGAAAATTTCGAACCTTGGAACAGGAAACGGAAAATGTACGGACAACTTACGACGGTTATGACTTGCGAGATCGATCTTAGGCTACAACCGGAGAAGGTTTCGAGGACAAACAAGCAAGTCTGTCTGGTCAACAACGAACCAAAGGGGAGACTGAAACGACGCGTTTTAACTCTATTGGGGATTCGATTATTTTTTAATTTTAGAAAATTTATACATAATGTTACGAAAATATTTGTTTCATTGGGACACAAGAAAAAATACAGTTTTATTCCAAAACAAAAAAAAATAAAAACAATATTTTATGAAAAATAAAATAAATAAAAACTATCTGCACCTTTTGTTCCATACCATACGCATTCGACACACTCGAAGCTATTTTATCAGTATATTATAGACATCTGGTGGAGACTACTTGTACGTGTCCCGTGACGGTCGTCAACCCCTTTCCCGACCCGAAGAAAAAGCAAAGAAGAAAGAAAAACGAAGGATTACCTTTGAAAATCCCCAAAGGACAAAAAAAAAAAACATTTTCATATAACAAAAAAAAACACACACACACACACAAAAAGCGCATGCCACCACATCAATTCACGCTTCCATATGAGCACTGCCTCTGTCCTTTCAGCATCCCATTCCTCCCTGTCTCTCTCTCTCTCTGCCCGGAGCATCTGATCATCTCTTTTCGACCACCACCGTCGAAATTCTCCACCTTTAGCCCAACCTTACCTCGTTTCAAGGCTATACTTCTCTCTCCGGAACCAGGTCCTTCAGAGCTTTGTCAATGGAGTTGGCACTCTCCTTGAAAGCGGCGGATGCTGCTATTTCTCCTTCTTCCTCCTTTTCCCTCTACTGGAACCCTAATCCCAGCCTAACCCGTCTGAGGAGCAAAATCTCTGTTTCGCCTTGTTTTAGACCCTTCCAATGCGTTCGTTCTTCATCTCCCGATCATGGTCTGGTTTCCTCTGTAAAACCCACCTCGCGAGACCCTATTACGTCTCCGTTCTCGTGCTCGGCCGTGGCTTCTTCGTCTTCGGAGACCACTTGTCTCGTGCTTCATAGGCTTCAGAGGTTGGTCGCGGAATTCCAGTCCTTAATGGAGCCAGTGGATCGGGTCAAGTGGATTCTCCACCATGGGAGTCTCATCCCTCCGATGCCCGAGTCGTCTCGGACCAAGGCGAACCGAGTCATGGGTTGCATGGCCCGAGTCTGGCTGGACGCCGAGCTGGATCAAGATGGGAAGATGCGGTTTTGGGTGGACAGCGACTCCGACATAACGAAGGGTTTGTGCTCGTGTCTGATTCAGGTGGTGGACTCGGCGTCGCCCGAGGAAGTGATGGGGCTGAAGACGGAGGATTTGGCGGCGCTCAATGTTGGGTTGTTGGGTACAGGGGAGAGGTCGAGGGTGAACACGTGGCACAATGTCCTGGTGAGCATGCAGAAACGGACGCGACGGCTCGTGGCGGAACGTGAAGGACAAGCGCCGGCGTTCGAGCCGTTCCCGTCGCTGGTTGTGACGGCTGATGGGATTGAGGCTAAAGGAAGCTATGCTGAAGCTCAGGTGAGTAGTTTCCTCTGTAATCTTCATTTCAAACAAGAAGTAATCATGGATGACGATGATGATGTTGTAAACAAGGAGTATTAGGATCCATAGATAAGCTTTTGTAGCGATATTTCTTAGGGGAGAAGAACAAGAATTGAGAATTTACCCAAGCTTGGGAACATGCAAAGGGTTCAAATCAAAGCGTGGGCCAGATATTCACAAGGACTTCTTGATCTTGTAGGAGATTTATACCAAAGTTCCGTTGAACGGATTATAAAAAAAAACAAGTATTGAGAATTTTACTCTTAGGATTTGGCAATGGGTTAAATGATTTGAAAAGATGGAACCAACACATCAAGTTTGAGTTTGGCAAGCATTGTAGATGTTGTTGTAATGGCTAGAATCAAAGGACTGGTTGAAGACACTATTATAATATCTACCTTGTAATAAAGTGTTTCACTTTGATATTTTAGTGGCAACTCGGTTTTCCTCCTGCCAATTGCTTAGTTTGAGCGTTGAGTCTCTTTCTTTCCTTGTTTTGTACAGCTTGATGTTGTTTTTGTACATTTAATGTTTTGTATACTCAGTGCTTTCATTCTTGTGTTGTGAATGTTTCATATGGAGAAGTATGCATTCTCATCTCATCCAGTGAGAACAGGATTGCAACTTGACTTGATTTCGTTTAGTTATTTTCTTTTCCCCTTCTTGTTTTCCCTCCGACCCCAAATAGATTTGGGATTAAGACGATGTTGTTGTTGCTGTTCTTGTGCTTGTTTTCCCTCTTTTCCGGATTAAATTTTGTGCCACTCTTGATATGCTATTTTCTTTTTCTATTTTTTTTTTGTTGCAGGCAAAGTTTTTGTCTCCAAACGAGACTAGGGTTCAAGAACTTGTCAATGTGCTGAAGGAGAAGAAGATTGGAGTTGTAGCCCATTTCTATATGGATCCTGAAGTGCAAGGGGTCTTGACCGCCGCACAAAAATATTGGCCTCACATTCACATATCCGATTCTCTGGTCATGGCGGATACAGCTGTCAATATGGCGAAAGCTGGATGTGAGTTCATAACTGTTCTGGGTGTCGATTTTATGTCTGAGAATGTTCGTGCCATTCTTGATCAAGCCGGGTTTGGAAAGGTAGATAGCTCTATGGTCTCTTACGTTTTCTCTATTGTATCGCTCCTTTGATTTGAAGACAATGACAAAACTACAGAGAAGATGAACTGGAAACTTACAGAGTTGTTATAACGATATCTGTTCTGTTTACCGGGATATTTGAAAATCGATGCTTTTGGACAAGCATTGGCATTTACTTATTGTCGTGGTATTGTAGGTTGGCGTATACAGGTTGTCCGATGAACGTATAGGGTGTTCACTGGCCGATGCTGCTTCTGCTCCTTCTTACTTGAATTATCTCGAAGATGCTTCTTCCTCTTCTCCTTCACTGCATGTCATCTATATTAATACATCTCTAGAGACGAAAGCCTTCACCCACGAGCTTGTTCCTACAATTACTTGCACTTCCTCTAATGTCGTTCAGACGATTCTGCAGGTCCGCTGTCTTGCTTTCTCCCGATTCTTTTCCTTTGTCTACATTCTGTTGAAATCCCTTTCCTTTTCTTGCTGTTTTTTGTCAACAGGCATTTGCACAGATCCCGGAGTTAAATGTTTGGTATGGACCTGACTCTTACATGGGAGCAAATCTCGTAGAGCTTTTACAGCAGATGACATTGATGACCGATGAAGAAATCGCCAGTATTCACCCGAAACACAACAGAGATTCCATTACATCATTGCTGCCCCGTCTGCACTATTTCCAGGTAACTTTTTTTGTTGTTGTCTCCCATATATGCAGAATGCTAATTCCGTCTTCTGTTGCAGGAAGGGACGTGTATTGTACATCATCTCTTTGGCCACGAGGTTGTCGAGAGAATAAAACAAATGTACTGTGATGCCTTTCTTACAGCACACCTTGAGGTTCCGGGTGAAATGTTTTCGCTGGCAATGGAAGCAAAGAGAAGAGGGATGGGAGTGGTCGGCTCCACACAAAACATACTTGATTTCATCAGGCAGAGGGTTCAAGAAGCATTGGACCGAAATACCGATGACCATCTCCAATTCGTTCTGGGAACAGAGTCGGGAATGGTGACATCGATTGTTTCAACGGTTAGAAATCTGCTAAGCTCTGCTCAATCAAAAGTGAAAGTAGAAGTAGTCTTTCCGGTTTCATCAGACTCGATGACTAAAACATCAGCCAGTTCTTCCGAGAGTCCGGATTCCATCAAAGTCGGCGATGTGATACTACCGGTTGTACCGGGAGTAACGAGTGGTGAGGGCTGCTCTATTCACGGCGGTTGTGCTTCTTGCCCGTATATGAAGGTCATTTGCTTTTCTAACCCAATCTATTGCCTCGGACTCGACTCGCCTTTCTTTTTTTCTATCCGCAACTTGAAAATGCCCGTAATCTGCAGATGAATTCTCTGAACTCGCTCTTGAAAGTGTGCCATAATCTACCCGACGAGGAGAACACGCTCGGGCCATTCAAGGCCGAGAGGTTTAAACTACAAACTCCTCAAGGGAAACTGATTGCAGATGTTGGGTGTGAGCCAATTCTTCACATGAGACACTTCCAGGTTATTGAACATTCATAGACTAAGCCTTTTGGGTTTTCGTTCTTCTCGACCTTGCCGTAATCTCAAACCCATTGTTTTACGCAGGCAAACAAGGAACTGTCCGATGACCTCGTTCATCAGATACTCGGTTCTTGGGACAGGAGGTGACTCGGGTTGAGCCAAGACAGTTAGGTTACTGTCATCTTTCTTACAAACTTCCTAAAAGGAAGCAGTGACACTGTCTCTCTGTCTTCCTATTATACATCCTATGTTTCACCGTCGGTTCGGTTATCGGTTTATCGTCATACCGTGAGGTAGAACAGCGTTACGGGCACCGCAAAATGTGGACCAACGTATAATACGGCAATGTAACAAAGCAACGTTCTTGCCGAGGACATCTAACCTTGGAATGGTGAAACGTTTCAATAACTGTATTTTGCATGTTTAGCGTTTTCGATATAACCTTGACGAGGAACTTGAAGAACAAGGGTTAGTATCATCTCCACCGAATTACGAATCCCGAAACTTAGCACGGGATTTTACCCTTCAACGTTGCTTTCTCGAGAAACCGATCTTCGGACTTCAACCATAACGAGGGGTCATGGATCAAAGCTTATTGAACCATTGATTGAAGCGTACAAGTCACAACATTCAGTGGTCGTTAACTAGGAGTGGACATTTTGGTTTGAAATCTTAAGTCCTGGACTGGTCCGGATCGAACCGAACTGAACCGAACTTGCGAAAATCCAAATTAGTCACCGTAAAAATATGCGTAAGCATCAATTTTCGTTTTTAATTTGGTAACCATATAACAAAACCACTCCGAACTGAACCGACTAACATTCTTTTCTCGCATTGTAAAAACCCTTTTAAGAAATTCGATGTCTTGTTTTTGGGGGAATTCCGTAGCGTTTCTTCTACTTTTATAAAGGAAGGAACTTTATTTGTTAATTTGATGGGCTTTTCACATTTAGCTTGACGATGACATGCAATAATGTAACTGCGTATTTGCAATGTGGATCAGAAATGTGTGTTCTTGAAATCACACGCTACTCTACCAGATCTCTTGTTCTTGATTTCCGACAAATGAGATAATTCATATTTGATTCCTTTTTTTTTCATTGCAAAGAAATCACAGTTCTTCCAAACTCAGTTCGGTCGGTAAAGCGAACACCCGAAACAGTGAAATCCTAAAATGAGATAAGGGAATTGAACAAAGGAAACCGAACCAATATCAAATCCTCTCCCGAAATAAAACCCGAAAACGCATCGAATCAACTTTTCGGGGTTTTGTTGTATAACCAGCGTTTGCATATACAGAAATATGAATGATCTCTAACGTACGATATCATGTCCAAGTGCAAACGTACCCGTTCTTATCCGCCGAGGCAAGTGGTTTCCCGAGCCCGCTCCAAGCGCAGCACAATATCGGAGACGTTTGCTCCTTGAGCGTCGTTACTATATCGCCTTTCGCTATGGACCATACATGAACCGACCCATCAGCCGACCCTGCAGCCACATAACCGTCATCTGGACTTACACAAGACCGGCTCCAGTTCGATGCCAACCTGTTCCCTGTTGCTTTGAGCGTGCCACAGAGTTCCAGTGTTCGGGTGTCGAATAGATTGTGCAAGTTGTCTCTGCCACTCGTCAGGATCCTGTTTCCGTTTCTGGACAACGATACCGACGTGACGGCGGCAGAATGTGCCGCTACTTCGGACAGAAGTCTCCCGGTCTGAATATCCCATAGCCGGAGATTCCCGTCCATGTGACCTGAAAACACAGTCTGCCCGTCCACGCTGAAGCAGATTGCATTGCAGTTACTGTGGAAGATGATAGTGTTGGTGCAGTAACCTTTCTGCAGATCCCAGAGTTTTATAGTACGGTCATAAGCCGCGCTCACAATGTGTCGGCTCGAAAACTTGCTCACATCCACAGCACATACTTTATCAGTGTGGCCCGTGAGTGTATGATTTACCCGACCCGTATTGACATCCCACACAAACAGATTGTTCGAGCTGCTAGCTGCGATGATGGATTTGCTGTCGTGGGTTATGGTCAGATCGAGTATATTGCCAAGGGAACCGTATAAGGTTTTAACTAAAGAACCGCTGTTACTGTCCCACATTTTGACTGATCGGTCTTGTCCCCCCGTAACCAGAGTCCCGGAATTGTATTCGAAGAGTATAGAGCCACAGCCACCTTCATGAGCGTGGATACGGTGCCCGCATGTAGATGGAACAGTCGACTCCACAAAGTGTTCAGTTCCATCTTCGTTGCGGCGAACAATCCCATCAACTTGTTGTCGAGCAAGATTTTCCAAACCATTTGCCTTGAGCCGAGCTAACATGTCTTCATATAGCGCATTAGCCTAATCGAAAAGAGAGATTCACATGCAATTCAATGATTCTAAAGCAAGAGGATGTAAAACCAAAAAAGAAAGTTTTTTTTAACCGGGCAACATAAAAAAGGCCAAGCACCTCATTAAGGCGTTCTGCATCCTGCATCTTCTGCAGCATCCACCGATCAATCAACATTTTATTCTCTGCCTCTGCTTTTTTAGCTCTAGTCGTTATCTCCTCCAGCTGAGCTCGAAGTTCCTTGTTTTCAGAAATAATCAAATCCAGAGTCTTGATCTTTTCCTCTAACTCTCCTTTTAACTGGGTGCTTTCTTCCCTGAAGTACATATTTAAGTTTCAAGGAGTCATATGAGATAACAATGTACCAGTGGTTGCAAAAGCAGTCTAACCTTGTTTCGGTTAATTCTTTCTGCAGGTCAGTAATTAATGTCTCGTTCTCCTGCAACGAAGCCTTTGAAGCTCTGGATTCAGCTACTTCTACCACAAGTTGTTCAGATAATCGGGATTGAGCTTTGTAACATTGCTGCAGCTCTGCTTCCAGTGTTTCATATTTCTCTTTCCATTCCGAGCCCTGCATATATCAATATTAAGTCAAACCATGACATATTTAAAGCATTACAGAGAAAGGAAGGCATAAAAGACCAAATCTACTATATTCAGAACACAAGATTACGGATTGGATGGGAATACTATGGCATAATAACTGATACGAGTAATAACTGATTTCTAGCAAAAACTTCCATGGATTATAATGATCCGCCTGGAGTTTAATTGTAAGATGTTCAGCATCTCACAGGACAACAACATCATGAAAACAAAAATGCATGTTTGATGTAATAGCTGTCCGAGCATCAGTCAAATGCCAAGATCGATTGGATGTGATAAAAACCAGAGAAACTCTCTTACATGAGATAAGGCTCCAGATAAAGCTCATCACTTCTAATATTTCTATGCTAACCATGGGGATTTTCATCATTAATAAACCATACTCTGTTACATCAGACCAATAAAATGATCCCTTCTGAAGTCCAAATCCACATGAACACCAAAAGACGTTATTCAAACTTGCATGGAGAGTAGATTGTCTGGACATTTTCAACAACAGATTCAAGATCCTAATTCTAATCCACTTCCCCATAGACACAACCAAGTTTCGGTAGCAAAGGAATGAAACAAAACTTTAAAGAACTGATATCCCAGAGGCAGCAAAGTACAAGATACATGTGTTCATAATACAAAAATCCAATGAAATAACTCAACCATGGTATTTAGATAAGAACATATGGAGGACTTCAATGTGTCATTTTATAACACCAACACAAGCAACAAGAACACAATCTGACCAAAAAAAAAAAAGCTACTTCCAACATTTTATCCACAATCAGAAGGCTTCACGAGCATATCATTAGCAATAACACTAACCTTGTAAACCTAAAAAAAATACAGAAAGAAGCCCAATTTGATGGAGGAAGAGTCAAGGTACCTGAGAAATAATAGGCCTAGATAGAGCAGAAATTACAGGAGCATGAGCAGCTTCCTCGAGAAGATGACGCTTCCGAAGAGCTCTGAGAGCGTGTTTAATGGCTTCCCTCGCTTTCTCCTCCTGTGCCCTGAAATTTCCAAATATCGACGGAATCAGTCACTGAGGGAGAATCAATCGGAAAAAGTGCACCGAACAGTGAAATCTGGAAAAAAAAAAACATACATCTCGATCGAGCAAAGACCTCGCAGAACTTGTAATTAGGGTTTTCGACGAGAAGTGGAGGAAGAAGAAGGCGAAACAGAGAACTTGATCGATTTTGATCAGAACCTATGGCGTGCCGTACGCAAACGAGTGCCCAAATAAAACAATGGAAAAATGGTGGCTGTTTTTCTATCTGTCGCTCCTCAACGAAATTGAATCAAACCCATATATAATTGGATTTAAACTCAACTTAAACCCTGGTTAATATATTTTTAAAATAACTTATAAATTAAAACGAATCTAAAAGACTAAAAGCAATAAAAAGGAATTAAAATATAAAAAAAATGTAAAACAAATATTTTTTAAATAAAAATATAATATAACATAAAATCTCAATTCTATCAAAATTCAAAATAAAAACTCGAATGAATAAAAGATCGTAAAAATTGGAAATTTTGGATGAGAAAATAATTTAATCAAATGTAAAATGTAACACCAAGTCATGTAAAGGACAGAATTAAGGAACATTTCATTTTGGTAGGAAGTTAAAGAAATCCATATTAAGCACGGCGTGTATATGTATACAAAAATTCCTATTTGTTTGTTCAACATAAAAAATTATTAAGTTATAAAATTTGAATATTGGAAACGAAATTAATTACGAATGTTGTAAAAAATTTAAAAACAATTGTTGTATCACATATGGTTGGTGTATGGATTCAACGAAGACTACAAAAAAAAATCTTTTAAGACAAAAGCTTTGCTATTGTCTTCTGTCAGTCTGCTCCAAGATAAAGAAAGATCTCTGGTTTTGGTTTATAACCGAAATTTCAATCCATCTCAAATTTTAATATGGTAACTACTCTAATGGACACCGTTATGATCCGACCCATATGGTGTCAGAAAGGATCGAGATCTAAAGGCATCGGCCGCCTATTCGCGACGGTCAAAGGCGAGAACGGTATTGAATCTTGGAGTCGGATCTTCCGGGCCAAGGACCAGCGACATGCGGACACTTTGAGTTAGGAACTGTGACCGCGACAGAGAACACGGGACTTGAAAAACTAAACAAACTATTTTATATTTTTTTAAACGTTCAATTTATGTTTGAATTTGATTTAGGGAATGACAGTGGCAGTCGGTTATTGACAATTCAGAAACCTACCTTCGCCTCAGGATTCATATTCCTAAACCCTAAAAAAAAATAACTCATCATCCATGGGGGTAAAACCAGTTTCACATGGAATGTGGTGCAGTGAAACAAATTACTTCTAAAACAACCCCGCGACCTGAGAAATTCGAACAGAGAGAATGCTACAAAATGGTCTAAAATCACATTAAAAGGGTACAAAAACAACAGCACAAACGCGCACAGAACGAACCTCACTCCGACCCTTCACCCTCAGAGCCTCCTAACGGAAAAGATTTCACGACGGCACTGAACAAAAAAAAAAATCGACGTTAGAACCACACCTAACTAACACTGCGTCCCTTTTTTATTTTACCTTTCAACGTAGTTCAGTAGAAACACTTACTGTAGGTAGACGTATCGATCTGCTCGGGAAGTTCCTTTATGTCAACCTCAAACCGCTCATAAAGCTCATCACTTCTAATATTTCTATGCTAACCATGGGGATTTTCATCATTAATACCCAACTGTTATTAAATACAGCGGCCACGCATCAGATGGACCCGAAAACTGCCTCAATTATCCACAATGATAGTTCGGTCTGAATGAACAAATTAAGTTCGAGGAAAAAAATGCATGCAGGCTCCAACTCCAAACCTGGTTAAGGACATCTGAATCGGCAGCGGATGAAACAAATGTGATGGCGAGACCCTTGGTACCAAACCTTCCAGCTCTACCGACCTACAGCATGCAGATCCAGAAGATATAACATAATATGATGAAGAACGTACACGAAACAACCCACTGAGGTTTTCAGGGGTGACAAAAGGAGATCAATTACCCTGTGGAGATAAGTATCAGCAGAATCAGGCATATCATAGTTGATGACGATGTTCACACGCTCGATGTCAATTCCTCTCCCAACCAAGTCAGTAGCCACAAGAATTCTCTTGTGCCCTTCTTTGAATCCCTTGTAACGAGTCAATCTATATATTGTGCAAGCAAAAAAGGTTCGTTTCTGTAAAGAGATCATAAAGGGCAAGCAGAGTACACTCGAATGACAAAGGACCTACAATATGGGATCATGCAAACGAGGTACTTTAGTTGTAAAACAGTTAGGGAGAGATACAAACCTCTCTTCTTGGGACATGCCAGAATGAATGCATATAGAGGGGAAATTGCATTCAACCAGTAACTTGTTCAGCTCGGCAGCTCTACTGACACTTTTCACAAAGATGACAACTTGATTGAAGTCCAAGGCATCAAGAAGGTCGTTTAACTTTCGGTTTTTCTCCATATCGCTTAGTTTGATGTAGTGCTGTCATGATAATAACAGAAAAATGGTTCACATATTTACCAATCATTATTGAAGCAAATAAGAGATCAGATCCGATTAACATACCTGTACAAGCCCGTGAAGAGTCAACTTGGCTTCATCATCAACATATATTTCCATTGGCTGAAAGGATCAGATGTCACATTAAAGAGTATTAGCAAGCGTTCCTCAAGCAAATCATATCCAGTACGAAAGAGATGGTAGATGGTGAGCCCTCAGACTCAAATTCTCGACCATCAGCTTTGCCTAGCTTATGCAGTTAAGCAAGGAAGCCGCTATCGCTCGGAACATTTCTTGGAATATTTCGCCCAAAACAAACGCGTACACAATGATGATGTCCTGTGACCTTCAGAAGACTGTCTCAAAACCAACCCCGTAGAGACAACAAGAAAAAGAAACCGAACATAAAATATTCTAATATGCAAAAGACACCACTGAACGTAAGCCCATCCCATCCCCCCCGACACAAAAAAAAAAAAAAAAGAAGAAAAAACTGACCGGATTATCCTATGCAACTAAATTGTAAACCTGAATCCATTGATCAAACGCGGGTATGGCAGGGCAGAAGGTGTCCACTAAACCGATGAACTCTTTCTCAGAAAACACTGGCGTTGATACAAAACTACAAGATTTTAAAACCAAGATAGTATCGGTGATTGGACATTACATCTTGCATAAATTTCTTGCAGACTGGGCGTATCTCTTTGCTGAGGGTTGCAGAGAACATCATTACTTGTTTATCATGAGGAGTCATTTTAAAAATCTCCTGCACATCCCTTCGCATGTCTGACAGAGGATAGGTAATGATTAAAACTTAGAACAGTCAAGGGAAAATGGATAATATCTAAAAACATAAACAAGTCAATAAGTAACATACCGAGTGACTCGAGCATTTTATCGCACTCATCGAGTATAAAATGCCTCACATTCTTTAAGGAAAGATCCTTATCCCTGGCAAGTGCAAGCACTCGACCGGGTGTGCCAACAACAATATGAGGACATTCATTCTTCAGTAAGTCTTTGTGAATCTTAACGTTGACTCCACCATAAAACACCGCCACCTTGATATCAGGTAGATATGTACTGAACCG